CTCACCTCCGAAACTATGGTGATGCCTGTGGCTTTTCAGGAACTGGCGCTGACGATGCTCAGAGCAGGGGGACGGGGTGATGTGAGGGGCTGCGTGCACTCGGCATGCGGGAGCCCTGCTGTGGGGCAGTGTCATGCAGAGGGAGCAGCTCATCCATACATGGCTTGTCCCCACTCCCCAAGCATCTCTTTGATCTGCCAGGGTCGTGGGGGATTCTCAGGGACATCCAGGAAAGGGGGTCTTGGGCCGTGTCCTGCTCCCATGCTCCCCCCATCTCCCTTGTCCAACCCTGCTCCGCTGCCCTGTGGAGGCCTCTTACCTTCCAGGGAGGTGGGAGGTTTCTGGGACCTTGTGCCCCTCCTGGCTATCCCTGATGTCTTGGCATCAGTGAAATGAGGCCCTCGAGCCCGGTCCCCGGGATGGGATGAGCCCATGTGCTGAGGATGCAGGCAGGGCTGCCTGCACCACTGGGTGCGGCTGCTGCGTGTTTTCATCTGTTTCTCGTTTTGCAGATGCTGGGGTGCAAACTCAGCAATGCCTTCTCCGCCGCAGGCAGCCCCAGGCTTCCCCAAGGACAGCCAGGCAACAGCATCGCGCAGAGCACGCAGAGGGTCTGCCAGCCGCTGACTCCTCGCTAAGTCTCTGCACGTGTGGTGCAGCCAGGTCCTGGCCTTGGCGTGCCCACGTGTGCCGTGCTAGTTGACTGCAGAGCCGTGCCATGCATGAACTGCACATGCTGGTCCTGCAGGGGATCCAGGTGAGGGCAAGCCACCGCAGGCAGGAGGATATCCTCCGTTGCGGGCTAGCCCTCGGTTTTCGAGTGACAGAGTGCTGTGCTCACAGTCCCTGCAACCACAGGGACACCTCCCCTCTGGGAATGGGCTTGAGGCTCTGACAGTCCGTGTCACACAGCACAGCACTGCTGTCGCTTCACTGGGCCTGAATTCACATCAGTAAGCAAAGATCCCCGTCCGGTTTCCAGATCTCTGTAATAGCCAGGATCTTGAATCAGCTCCTTCTTTTAACCCGCATCAGCCCAGAGATATCCCCACAGCAGGTCAGGACAGTGTGAGCAGCTGCTAACTTAGTGATTTTGTCACCTAGCCCGAGCAAGGTTAGCTTAGAGAAACACTCAGCTTCAAACAGATGCAGAGCAACACAGGGTCACAGCCCCCGGCACTGAACCCAGCGCTCACACCGTGCCTAGCTGGACTGATTCACTGGCTTTCTGGGAGGTCGTACAACATTTGACCCTACAGGGACACATGAAAGGACTCTGCTTAGATGTGAATGTCAGCCTCCTTTCTCATTTTTGCTGACAGGTGCTAGAAATAGTGAAACAACCATGATCTGCTCTTAGAAAGTAAGCTGTGCTGCAATGCACCTCTGCCCGAGCTGGGAGGGGGCACGTGCTCCACGTTCACTGTGTGTATCTGTCCCTACCCCAGATCTCTGTCCACTCTGAGCTGTTCAGGGGAAGCTGAGGGCTACCCATTGCTGGGAGGACAGCATCCTGCCAGTCACCAGCGATGGGTAACGTGATTCATGTGCTCATGGTCATGGCAGTCACTGCTCACTGGTTTCCCTGTGGAGACAATGACTCATCCCTCCAGCACACCAGCCCCTGGTGTGGGGGGAGAGGGGTGCACCACAAATACTGGCAGCCTCGGGGCACAGCACAGAGGACAGCATGCAGCCTTCATAGGAAGAGCCAACAGAGCCCTGGGAAGTGCCCCTGGTCCTCCTGGCTCTGCAGAAGCCCTCTGAAGAGCAATCCCACCAAACCACCACTCCTATCTCCAAGGGTCTCTGGGGAGAGTAGGCATCCCTGCTGACACAGGGACTCAGCTCACAGCTTCCAAGGTCTTTGCTGAGGACTAGCACCCATCATCCCTGCAATGGGGACGTTGCTCCGATGGCCCTGGGAAAGCCACGCACTCCTGCTCCTCAGGACACCGCCCACTCCTTGGAGGAACATTACAGCCCCCACGCTCTCAGAAGCTTTCCCAGCGCCCTGAGGCTTGCTGCCCTCCACCCCAAACACAGCTTCACCCCACTGCTACCTGACTGATGCCTGACTGTCTTGGGACTGATGTAGTCATCAAGTCCATCTTCTTCAGCACAGCTGCTCTGAGCCAAATGGGGTAAAGACTCATTGCAAACTAACGGAAAGAGGAGCAGCAAAACCTCTTCTTGCAGACACAAAAGCAACAAAATAAGTCAAGTCCTACCAGTTTCGCTGGCTTCTTCTAGGACTTCAGGATGAGGATCTTTCTGTTCCCATGAAGCCAGCAGAGGTGCATCTTCTAGGACTTCAGGATGAGGATCTTTCTGTTCCCATGAAGCCAGCAGAGGTGCAAGAACCAGGAGAAAGGCCCATCTCAGAGTCATGTTAGCATAAAGTCCCAGGGCACGACTGAGGTCTCAGGCTCACTCGCTGCCTCTCAGTTCACCGGACTGATAGCAGGAGATGCGTGCACGGAAAGGAAGCAGCCACGCAGAGAAATTGCATGTGGTGCAAGAGGCTTCCTCATTGGAGAGGGAACCTCCGCCAGTGTCAGTGCTGCTTTCATTCTTCTCTTTTGTGCGCTGGGGCAACAGGCAACTTCACACCCCTTTTGCAGTCTCACAGCTCTTTGAGCTCTCATCTTCTGAGAACGGCCTTTTCAGCTTTTCTGACAGGAGCAGCCACTAGCCACAACACCTGGCATGCTTGCTCTCTGAACAGATCTCAGAGGTCCCAGAAGGACATGTGAGCATTGCTGGTTCATAGTCCTCCAGACCTGGGGTTTTGCAGGAACACACAGAAACTGCATCAGGCTGTCAGGACAACCCTCCTCTTGTTATTGTCTGAGAACTTAGGAGGGATTGTGAAGAAAGGGTCCTTAAGGTGCACAGGAGGTCTTAATTACCCAAAAGTGCAGGCCTTAGGCCAAGGTTTTGGCAGAAATGGCTGGGTGCACCAGATTACGCTGAGGGCAGATGCTCAGGAACAAGCTGCCCGGGAGAGGGGGAGCACAAGTGCTCCGGCTGGTTGTGCCACAGGGATACCCTGGGAGGGGGAATGGGTGAGAAGAGCTTTTAAGGCAGCAGCAGGCACAGCCAGGAGATGCACTGGCAGTGAGGTGTGAAGAGGCTGCCAGTGACTGGCTACTGGTAGAACTGGCCATAGCAGCAAACCTGACCATCAGAGACGGCCTAGGGCAGCAGTCAATGAATTTGTGCTCCAGCCTGCCCAGCAGCTCTTGCCGGAGGTGCTTGGTCCATGCCCCAGCTGTAGCGCACAGCTGGGGAGAAATCATGTCCTGAAATCTTGTCCACACCTTCCCAGACGGGCCACCAGCTCCTTGTGATAGATTCCTCTTTTCTGTGCTCTCCAGGAGGGTCTGGGACTCTGAAGCTATCTATCTGCTTTATGCTGATGCACATCCTTCACTTGATCCGCAAGCAATAGTCGTTTCTTGCCTTACTGGCCTCAGCACAGGCAGGGTGTGGTACGGTGGAGGGGAGGGGGGGGGCTCCCTCCAAAAATACTCTCTCCCCAGCAGTCCCAAAAATTTGGCCCATTATAGAAGTCTAGTTTTGGCATTTCCCCAGTGATGCTGCTTGGGGCAGGTGCTCCAACAGCCAAGCACCTCTCAAGGACGGAGCTAGCATCTGCCTGGACGCCTCTCTCCTTCCCTCATGCACTCAGAAACACAACCTCAGCCTCCTTTCCCCTATCAATATTTAATCTCTTCCTGCAGTAGAGCTGCTCCCCAAGGCAGAGACTTGCCTTTCCATTTCCTTTGCTCAGACACAGAGCTAACCCACACAGGATTTCCCTTACCTGACCACGTATTTGCCCTGGCAGAAGTGCCTGGGGCTCCCACGCAGCGGGCATGGTGCAGCCCACGGGTACCCAGGCGTGACCTAGCCAAGTGCGGTCGCTGGCTCTCCCTGCAGCACAGCACCCCACTGCCACGCTCTGCCTCAGGTGGGAGGTTTCAGTGGGGAAAGCATCTGCTCCTCTGCCTCCCACACCCATGGGAACTCAGACACTGCCTCTCCCTGCCTCACGGTGCTTAACTCTACATCTGGGATTTTTCAGTGTGGGAGGCCAAGAAGGGGCTATGAAAGCAAACCACCTCAGTAGGAAGAGATTCCCCTTTTGGGGGTCTTTGGAAAATGGCTAGGAGAATTCCATAAATCAAATAAAGCTGAAAAAATACAGCCTCAGTGGCTCTGTGCGCTGCTCCCAGTGCAATGGCTGTCAGATTAGACCCGTGATAACAGTATGACACCCCCAAAAGCCCTTTATTACCCCATCTGAAACCACAAATTCCATAGCAGAAGTGTGGCTCAAGCAGCTGTCAGGAAGCCCTGTGCTCTCACTCACTCTTTCTCTTCACACTTCCCCTTGCACTGCATCAGAAAAATCCACTGCTGACCATAACCCAGGCTCTGCATAACGACAGGAGGTGTTGCAATACGGTGCCAGAGCTCCAAGCATGCCCTGAAATGACTTCGGGGCACACTGCAGTGCAACGACCTGAAGAGAGGAGCAGCCAGAGCTTCCCGGGGAAGAGGGAGAGCAGCAACCCCCTAACACCCCAAAAAGCAGCTATGCAATGCAGGGCCCTGGGTGGGACAGCAGGGACTGGACAGAGCTGGTTAGGGCTCTAGTCAGCAGCTTTTCCAGAAAAAAAAAACCGGCAAGCTGCTCCAGGAGCTCAGCAAGCTTGAGAGAGACTCTCAGAGTCTCCCCTGGCAGAGGCCACCCTCCTCTCTCCCCCTTAGGAGCCATGTCTTGCGGTCCCGGAGAGATCACCTAGGGCCTGCTCCAATATTTGCACTGGGAGCATGTGGAGCTTGGCCAATGGTTAGGTCAATGGGCAGCAACCAGCACCTCTGTGCATCATGTGTCACAGTGCTCCGGCGGTGCCAGGGTCCAGGCACGCTGCTGTGCACGTGCCCCATTTTGCTGTGAGCCTCGCAGCATGGCCTAGTTCCCTGCAGCCTGCGGCTGCCACTGCAGCACAGCTGGCTCACTGCCTCCCTAGCCAGTGCATCGGTATTGGAGCTACGTTTCGCAGAGCTGTTACCACCCCATGGGATGTCGCTCCTGCACTGTGGGGATTGGCACTGCATGAGCACTGCAGGTTCATGGGGTTTAAGGCTGGTGTGTACCACCATGACCCCTCCAGAGTATGGCACTGGAAGCAGCGCATGTGGGCAGGTCTATCAGCTTGGGGTGCCTGCAGGCCACCAAGGCCTGGCACTCACCCCCTGGGGCTGCCCGCCCTGCCCCGTGTGCATCCCCACCCTGCTTCTCCCAGCCTGTTCCCAAGGCAGCTTGGCCATTGTTGGTGCTCAGGAGGCTCCTCCCTTCCTGGCCCCTGGTTCCTCAGCACTTGTCCTGCCTGCCTGGCTCCAACAGCAGTCTCTGAGCGACTGTCAACATTGCTTTGCTTCTGACTAGGGCCCTGCTCCTAGCCAGTGAGGGCTCTGCAAACCATGGCTGCAGCCTTTGCTCCGAAGAGGAGCCAGGACCTGATGACTCCCGAGCCCCACTACATCCCTGGGTAAGCACAGGGGCTGGTGCTGGATTGCCTGGCCTTAGAGGAACAGGGCTCTGGGAGCAGCTGTGTCCCTGTGCAGAGACCCCTGTGCCGGGGGTCCTCCTCACCGAGGCCCACAGAGCACGACTGCTCTGTGCAGCCCCACGGGGTGCTGCTTCTGCTTCCCAGCCCAGCCCTGCCCTCCCCCGCAGCCCTGCCAGCTCCTCCTGCCAGCACCAAGCTCCCTGTCCCTGCCAGCCTCTCTGGCATCCAGGGTATTTTTTTTTTTCCCCAAGGGAGGGAAGGGAGGGAGATGCCATCAGGACGATTCCCTGGGGCCCCACAAGCCACCAGCTCGCAATGACACTGTGTACAGGGGCCTCCATAGCAACCTTCCACCCTGGCCCCGGCCAGCCGGGAGCAGCAGCAAGGAGCGAGGTGGCATGGCAGAGGGGAGCAGCATTCTCCTGCTGGCAGTGCCTGCCCCAGCGACCTCAGCCCCCTGGTGTCCCAGGGTGCTGCTCGCCTCCCCCCAGGCCACCGGGAGCTCTGAGACTCGCTCTGGGATCGGGGAGCAAGTTTCCATGTGAAATAGGTTGCTCCTGGGTGCAGGCACCCAGGAGCGTCCAGGGCAGGTCCTTGTCGCCAGGATGGAGGGGAAATGGGTTTAGAGGTGCAGGTAGTCTCTGGTGGGGTGGGTTGGTGTGTGGGATAGCTGGTCTGTGCTGTTCACCTGCTGTGTGTTTCCCACAGCCCTTTAACTCCAGGTGTGAGAGATCAGGTGTGCAGGGCTGCACCCTGTGGCCTCCAGCATCTCCCAAAATGCGGTTGGTCCACAGGAATAAGGTGTGGTTACCTTCCTGCTCTTGGGAGGGTCCTGCCCCCATGTGCATCCCCATCCCAACTCTCCCTGCCTGCCCTGCCCCACGTGCACCCTCCTCCCTGCTCTCACTGCCTGTGCAAGGGTAAGCACTTGCAGCTGCTGGGCACACACATAGAGTGGCAGCACGGCAGCACACGCAAAGAGGCAGGGTGAGCACGGCAGCGCTACAGTGCTAGGACTCAGCGTTGCCCTGTGTAACTCTCCCAACGTTGCGGCTGCCCTCGCTTTGCCGTGGCAGCTACACTGGTTACTGCCCTCACTACAAGTTCAGCATGGGGAAGACTTACGGGCAGCAGACGTCCCAGCTCCTGACCAGCCCAGAGGTCCTGCGCTCCTGCCAGCTGGTGCTGCAGCCGACTCGCTGGTCCTGCCGAGGCACTGAGCCCCAAAACCTGCCAGGGAAGCCAGGAGCCTGCTGTGGGGCAGGCACTCAGTCGCTGAGCTCCATCATCATCCCTGGATATACAGGTAGGAGGAGGCTGCCCTGGCATGCAGTGGTGACCTGCAGAACCCACCTACCTGTACTAGCACCCAGCCCTGCTGCCCTGTCCCAACTGTTTACCCTTGTGAAGCACCACGGTACTGTGGGAGCTGCAAGATAGTTTCCCAGGACAGACCAGAGGGTGTATAGAGAAGGACTCCTGTCACTTGGCACTGGCAGGTCTTCTCCTCCAAGCTGGCACACATCCCTCAGGCTGGCGCATGCCTCTGTGCTCCCATTCACCCTCAGCCCCCCACAAGCCATATTCTCACCCCATGTCTTTACCTACCCCACTGCTGGGTCCTGCAGCCCTCCCCATCACACCAGAGCAGGCCCTGTACCGTGGAGGGGGGCTCCTCTTTGCTTCAAACGCGTCGGGCATTCTGCTCCAGGATTCATCCCCAGAGCCCAGTGCTTCTTTGCCAAGACCTACTCCGAGATCTGCAAGGAGGCCAGGAGCGACTTTGCCAAGCAGAGGCTGAGAGCTGCCGGCAAGGAGCAAGCCTGGCTGAAGACACGGACGCTGCTGCAGGACCCCACGCAGGAGAGCAATGTGAGACGGGCTGGGGTGAGTGGGCATCTCACCATTGGTCCAGGGCTGTTCCCCTGTCTACAGCCTTGCTCTGTGCCCAGGGCACACAGCACATCGCAGCCACAACGAGGGGAGGGCACACGAGCTGGGGTCAGCAGCCAACACCCATCCCTCCCTCCATCGCCACCTGTGTCCCACAGCATCTGCCTTTCTGCCACTGGGTCCCAGCTGAGGGGTGCTGAGGGATGCAGAGCTCCTTGTAACAGCACCTGGTTGAGCCATCCTTCCCAGATCAGGGCCTGCTCCAGGGCATGGCAGCACCAGGGAATCCTCCCCCAGCCGAGCCTGCTGCTAGTGGTACTCACAGCTCCATGTCCCCTTCAGGATCTCACAGCTGACCCCCTAGGGCCAGGCTGCCACCAGGGCCACCCAGCCGCAGCAGCAGCATTGGCAGCCTCTGCCCCATATGCATTGCTGCACACCTTCCAGCCACAGTGCTCCCCCTACTCCATGGAGGATGATGACCCCCAAAAATATTTCATTTCAGGTAAGATTGCAAGGAGCAGGGCAGGGCTGGGCTCCCAGGGGGATGGTAAGGGGATACTGCCCTGATAGGGTATTTCCTCAAAGGGGATGCAGAGAGCCTAAGAGTGCCAATTTGGAAGGGGGTGGTGGGTATGGGAGAAGTCCAGCAGGGACTCCCAGGTGCCCCCCTGGGTGATTTGGGGGCACTAGGCCTTCTGAGGGCTGCTCACAGCCAGTGCTGGTCTTGTTACAGGGTATCTCTTGTGACCTATGCAGGCTTCACGGGCTTTGTGCCTCGTGCCCGGTTCCTGATTGGGACAGGCTACCCGATAACCACCAACCGGGCCCTGGTTGAGTTTAGTCAGATGGCCCTGAAGAAAGGAGACAGGAGTGAGACCAAGGAAGGCAGCACTATCCTCCCACCTCTGGGAAAGACTTACCCAAGGGAGACGGGCCTGCCACCTCACTACACGGGCTACGTCCCAGGTAAGCGTCCAGCAGCAAGCAGCCACGGCCACACACCTTCCCTCTGGAGAAATCAGCTTTCACCCCCAGTGTGCTCCTCTACATCTAGCAAGAGTGTCTTGGCACGGAAGGACGCAAGGGCCGGAAACCCATAGCTGCGACCCCAAATCCAGCCTCTCATGTCCTCATCGTTCAGCTACGGCCAGCCTCATCCAGGGCAGCCTCGCAGCAAGCATCCCCTCGTTGTAAGCATGGGCAAAGCTGGCATGAGAGCCTCTTGGTGTCTGTGCCAAGAGCACACAGGGTGCTGGAAATCCCCTCTCCTGCTGCAAGTCTGACTCAACACTCCTGTTTGGGCGCACAGAGTTCCCTTCCCCGTTTCGGCCAGCTTGCACAAATGGGAAGAGCAGTCTGGCCCGGTGCCATTTGTAAGCGGGTCTGTCTACAGCACCATGTGCAAGCTGTGGCCATGTTGTGACTCCCTAGGTTGGGATAAGGGGCCGTGCTGCTTCATTTCTGGACTTTGAACCTGTTTGGCTCACTTCACCACTGCAAACTGTAGCCTCACACTCCAACGTGATACCCTCATAAAAAAAGCTGGAGCCTCAACCAGAGCTTTTATCTTCTCCCTGGAGCTACCTGGGTGTAAGAGAAAGGGATGGATGGGCTCGCAGAGGTCGTTGCTGCAGAACCTGGGAATCCTGTGCTGTGGCTGGTCTAAGTTTAAATGCCCCAGATCCCTTCTGTGTGAGGTGACCCATAGCCAGCAAGTCTCACAGCCCGGTTGTCCCAGGCTCTGGCTCTTAGCCCCATGACCTGTGCTCAGCCCATTATTCTCATTTCCTCCTTCCCACACTACTCAGGACTTTCTCCTTGCTGTCCACAGGTTACAAGTTCCAGTTTGGCCACACTTATGGCCACCTTACTAACAACGCCCTGAGCGTGAGCACCGTCAAGAAGCAGATGCCAGACTAAGAATACTGGTCAGGCATGGTGTGAACTCCTCTCTGAAACCTACTTGGGCTCCCCCCAAGCATGCATAAGGAATAAAGACAAGCAACCCCAAACGATGCTGCCTGCCAGTGTGATGCAAGGTGGAAGGGGATTTGCAGCTCTTCTTGCTTACCTAGGGCTGCATCCTGGTGTAGTTATGCCCCATCTTGCCGCAGGAACCTCCCTTGAGGGGATACTGCATCCTCCAGGGTGGGTCACCCCAGCCCTGCTGAGCTGCCTAGCTGAGACGTACCACCATCAGATGATGTGACATAGCCCAGCAAGTCAAAGCAATTCATTTTCAGGACGAACAAGAGATCCCAGACGGTGACAGGTCTATGGCAAGACCAGGAGCAGTACCCCTTATGGTTAGTTTCTTCCTCCCAGGCCTGAAAGCTGACAGGGTCTCCAAATCTGTACAGCACTGCTGGCCTAGCACTGCCAGAGCCGGAAGCAGGCAAAAAACACACAGGCTTACCCAGGGGAGCATAGAAAAGAAAGACCCAGGCACGGGCAGCCACATCCAGCCAGGGTCTGTGAATACATCGTACGGGTGAGGAAAGGACTTCTGGTCCTGCACTTCAACTGGATGATATGGGGACTGGATCTGCTACTCTGGGCCAAACGGGGACTAACCTCTCTCTTCTCGAATGGTCTGTGATAAGCCAAGGGTAGCTGAGGGCAATCTGTCTCTCTCTGAAGGTCTGGTGTTGGCTGTGGTTGGAGGAAGGATGAAGCCTGCAATGCGGTGACCCAGCACAGGTACCCCTTGGGCCCTCCCCAGGGACAGGCTGAAGTCACAAGGCCGCATACCAGCAGGGAGCTCAATCAGCACCTTTTTTATTAATATGCATCATAAATAAAGAAATAAATAAAGGCAAGACACCTCGTTCTAACTGGGGAATACAAATTAAATATGGTGCAATGTCCGCTAAGCGATGTACAAGCAGGAGGTAACCTTGCAAAACCAGGGCCCCTTGCCATGGGGAAGCCAGCCCAGGTATGACACCGTGAGCAGCATCAACCTGGCCAAGGCACCAAATACTGGCACGGTCTTTCATTAACACTGTTCCCCACCGGTGGGCGGCATGAACATGAAAGGAAGGGGTTGACTGGCATTGGCTCTGCCAAGGACCCCAGGACCCCCAGCAGCCCCTTGTGCTTGTGCACAATTATGGGCCCACTCGCTCCCCCCACCACAGCACTGCTCAGCAAGACCAGAAACATCATCCCTCCCACCCTGTCTCCCCTGCTCCCTCTGGGAGCACCCTCCCGCTCTACCTACTGGGAGCACTGCCCCCTTCTCCAAAGAGCATCCCTATCCCACTCGGGGACCTTGTCCTCACTCCCTCCCGTCCTAGCCTCCCTCTCTCCACCGAGCGTCACAGGGCAACCTAGGCACTGGCTCCCTCATCCGTATGGAGGGAATGAGGGACATCCATCTCTGCCCAGGTACCACTATCCATTCTGGATCTACGCAATACGGAACATTCACACGCCTTCCTCACAACCCCCCACACCCCCTTGTCCTGCACACACACATACCGTTTCCCCTCTCCCCTGGCCATGGCCAGGCACAGCACAAGGCCCTGCAGTGTGGCAGTGCCAGGCCATGGGCTGGACTGCCCTCTCAGGGAGGCACTTGGCCATGCCCGACCTGTGTGACACAAGCTCTTGGTGCGGTACAATACACAACGCACCATTATTATAGGTTAGGACAGGGCTGTTCTAGATGGGGGAGCCTACCTTCTGGTCCCCCTCAAGCCACAACACAACCTGTCAGCATGGGAGAGCCTTGCAGAGATTTTGCTAATGCACAGTGCTCCCACCCCTGTAGCTGATGACTCCAGCAATACTGAAGGCTGCAGGCTGCGCTGCCATTCCTGGGAAGGGGACAGCCAACGTCCTGCACCCTTCAGCATGGCATTGAGCTGGGCAGAGGGGCAGCGCCTGCTCTGGCAGGGACTGCTTGAATTCCTGCTATGTACGAGTTCACGGCCTACAGGTGCTGGAGATGGCGTGAGGTGTAGGGGGCTCAGGCAGTTCCTGGCGCGGCTGCATGCACGGCGATGCCTGGCAACACAAGGTGCAGCTGGCAGGAGGCCCCTTCGGCTGAGTCGGCCTTTGGCAGCTGCACGAGGAGGAGCGAGAAGGAGCAGAACCTATGGTTACTGTATCCTGTAATGGCAAAAAAGGTAAGAAACTAGCAAGAAGCTGTGTCTGTTCCTCTGGAAGGGTGGGTGGGCTTCCTCCAGAGGAGCCTCAGCAGCTCACGGTACTGTGCTCAGCCTCCCAGCCGTGTCAATAGTCCTCGTCCTCTGGGTGGGTGACGTACATGATGGGCACCAGTCCCCTCTCGGAGCCGAAGCTGCACTGCAGCCAGTCACCGTCCACCTTGGAAATGACCTGCAGGATGTCCCCTTTGTTGAAGCTCAGCTGTCCTGCCTCAGTGGCAATGTGATGGCAAAGAGCTTTCACTTGGCTGCAGGCAGAGGGAGGGAAGAAAGGGTTAGCCTGCCACAGGACACTCACCCCACTGCAGCCTAGGGACCACTGTAGTCACAGAGGAGCAAGTAGAGCAATTTCGCCTCCCCAGTCAGACTCCCCATGGCTGCTTTGTGACAGGGCCCTACGAATGCCTTCCCCAGCTCCCCCTCATCTGCAGATTGCCGAGTTGGGGTGGACAGAGCGCAAACTGCTTTACTGCCCTAAACTGCCACTGGCCCACGAGTGCAAAAGGGACCAGACAAACCTTAACAGGCAAAGCAGCATCAACCCCACCAGCCCACCACATCCCTGGCACCTGCAGGATGGCCACATGGCACGGCTCACCAGGGAGGGTTGGGAGACAGCCCCCGAGCCAGCCGCTGCTCAGGTGACACTTCAGGCGGCTCCATCCGTGGGGGCTCTGGCTCAGGGGCTGCTTCTCGCCACATGCTTGCCCCAACCGTCTGGGCCACCAGCTGGAACACAGACTTGTCCAAGCTCAGCCAGCCAGAGGGCAACCTGTGAGAGGGAGACAGAAGCAGGCAGTGGCAGGGAACTGTACCTGGAGGCAAGGAGCAGCTGCTCCACGGCAAGTTCATGCCCTGTAAGTCCGACTGTGTTCACAACATGCACCGCAGTCCCCAAGACGTATCCTGCGGGGCGAGCTCAGCTACCTCCAGACACAACATGGCCTGCTCTGAGAACATTTCTAGTGGCCACAGAAGCAAGCAGGGTGCAGATGGAGAAACAAAGCTAGGAGGATCCAGCTACACCGGGCAACTTCATGCCTCCTCCTCACCCGTTGTGAGCAACGGGGATGCCTTCATGTTCTTCTCTCACCTAGTGTGTGCTTTTGAGAGGGATGAGGGGAATGGAGCAGCAGGGGCCACACTAAAGGCCTCTCCCCATCTTCCCCCAGAGAGGGGCTTAGGAATCTAGGCAGTAGCCCAGCTCAGGCAGAAGAGGAGAGTCAGCAAGAGGGATAGATGAAGGGTGAGAGCAGCGGGGAACAGTGGTATGCGTGGAATTAAGGCAGGCAGGCTGGCAGGGCTGATGTACCATTGTAGTGTAGCACAGGACTAGGCTGTTGGCCTGACTCCCACCTGCACTGCAGCAATCCCAGGTTAACTAGCCCTCCCCAACCCTAAGCCTTCCATGTCCCTACCTGTTGGGCTGTCTGGGCTCCTTTTGCACCTTCCTGGACCCAAACAAGTGTCCCCACTTAATGGGCTGGCTGCCCTCTGGTGCACTGGTGCTGCTCTCCTCTTGGGGGGCTGCTGCTGCTCCCAGTCTTTGCTGAGTCCCGGTCTCCTTCTCCTTGCTGCGCTTCAGCTCTGTAAGCACTGAATCTGGGGGGCTACCCATCCAGAAGGGCCAGTTTCGTTCCTTGGCCTCTTCGCTGGCTGGTGCTTGCTGCGGCTTTTCTGGGGGCTTTGCCACAGCCTCGGGGCTTGGCCTGCTGGCAGCCTTGGGCCTCTCCTCCAAGGTGCCCTCAGCAACTGGGCAGGACTCTGCACCCTCTACCACCCCTTCACGGGGAGGCGGTGCCTTGTGGGTCTCAGCTGAACTGGGCACAGCACTCAAAGCCTTCTTCTTCTTTTCATAGCGGATGAACTTCGAGCCTTCGGCTGAGCCCTCAATGTAAATCTGGGAGCTCTGCATAAGTTGGTACCACCAGCCTGCCTGCTTGTCTTTCTTCCCCTCCCATGTGCTGTCTCGCACCTTCCTCCTCTCTTCCTCCCTGTCGACGTCTCCACAGGAAGCCCCCACCCCCTTGACTCTCTCGCTTGCAATTTGGTCGGGGCTGTGGCCTGGTGACACGTCACCATCTCTGGCACTTGCTTTACATGACTCAGGGGCAGTGCTGCAGCCATCAGGATCCTCACTGCTGCCTCGTGTCCGCATCAGCTGCAGGGTGGAATGTGCAGAAAGCAGCAGGTCTTGTTTCACACGCAGCAGCTCCTTTTGCTGTTGCTGCTCTTTGCCCATCTGCATCAGGTGGTGTTCAAAAAGGAGGTCTAGGTTGAAGGGCAGCAGGGAGAGAGGCTGGAGCAGTAGCAGAAGCTCCTCAAAAAGGGGCTGGCACACACTGTGAGACAGGCACAGGAAGCCCACCGGCTGGTAGTGTGCCAGGATGATATCTACAGGGCAGGAGACAGCGATTAGATCAGAGGCCCTTGCCACCTTTGCCCACTGCCAGGCCACCAAGAAGCTACTGAAGCTATGGAGAAAGGAGTCTGAACACTAGTTTCTGGTAACAACCGCGGCTGCAGCATGAGGTTCAGCACTGTGCCAGTAGTCAGGGAGCACCAGACATTCTGTGAGCAAACTGGCCCAGATGCTGCTTCTAGTCCTGCTTGCAGCCTGAACTTTGTTCTGTCAGATTATCCACCAGGAGAACCTCTATCACAAATGCCATGGGCATAGGGTGTGAATAAAGAGCATCAAAGATGGCTGACACATGTTAACATTCTCTTCTTCCACCTCCCAGATACAAACAGGGAGCTGCA